GTTCAATATATTGTAATGACCTATAATGGAAAAGACTCTAAAAAAGAATGTGTGTGTATATATATATAAAAAGCTGAATCACTTTGCTATACACCTGAAACTAACACAACATTGTAAATCAACTATACTTCAATTAAAATATTGTGATAAAAGACGCATAACATAAACTTCACCATATTGACCATTTTTAAGTGTACCGTTCAGTACCCTTAGCTGTAGTCACATCACTGTGAACTAGAATTATTTTTAATTGTCTAGTGACTGTTAGCACCGTGTCTGTCCCTCCCTCCCCCTAAAGTGTAAGTTCCCTGGGGGCCTGGTCTGTCATAGCCCCTGTGCCTAGAACAGGCCTTGGAACTAGGAGACTCTCATGACGTATTTGCTCAGTGGATGACTATTCCAAGAACCACTAAGATTAGTTGTCACGTAGGTGGGGCTGGCCGATTTTTGTCTGTAGGGCGGAGGGAAGAAACGTTGAAGCCGTGTCTCCCCATTTGCTACAGTGTTTGTCTCTCCCCCTTTGCTGCAGTGTTTGTCTCTCCCTCGGCATTTCCGAATGGGAACACTTACAAGTCGGGTCGCACTGACATCTGTTTTCCCAGAAAGAGTGGCTGGAGTTCCCTGTGCAGAGCATGTAGGGCGGCCTGCTGCTCGGCCTGCGGAAGCCTTTCTCACAGTCACAGTTTAACATGGTGCCGACCTCATACCTGAGGATCTTGAACATGGCATTTCTGATATCTGGTGGGTCGTGAAGACAAACCTCTGCCAAAACAAGAAAACAAAACAAAAAGCAAATGAAGTGCAGGAGCTTCCCAGCATGGGCGTAGTCACCACGTAATAATCTAATCACACGTTTCCTCGCTTCATCGAAGGGGCTTACAGGTACCCGACTTTTTCCTGGAAAGAAACTAAGGCTGTCACCGCATTTCTTTAGAAACCTTCCTATCAGAGATCACTCACAATTTAACTTCAGCCAAGTTCACCTCCAAACTACAATGTGTTTCAAACTAAATGAATGGAAATGAGTGAGGCTTTATTCTAAATATGCTTCATGCTGAGCGAATTTAGAAAGAAAGAGAAGGACCGAGGGCTATGAGGAAAGGAAGAGAGGAAAGCTGTGTGGATTTGATCGAGGGACAACGTGTGCCTGTGAGAGATAATTTGCAGGAGATAAAGATTGTCCAACTTTCTGCAATGAATGATTCTGTAGGGCTTTTTTCTTTTTTTGGAGAAATATGTGTAAAGTGCTTCGCTCAATGTCTGGTGAGTAGGAAATGTGTGTTTCTCACCCACCTACGCACCTCTGAGTTTACCAAATTCCTCCTCATACCACAAAGACCTGACTCTCCCTTGGCCCGAAAAAAGGTCACTGGTTTCCCACTAAAGGTACTCAAAGAAGCGGCCGAGCGCTCAGCTACTGGGGGGGAGAGGTGCTGGTCTCATCAGAACGACGATTCCACTGTATATCTGATGACAAGTTCTCCTGCTTTAAGAGATGAGATTTTATGGAAAAGTCACAGGTAGGATAAGAGCAGTGGACGGGAAGGACCACAGGAAACAGGAGAGAGTGAGGATCAGGGGCCTCGCCACCCAGCACAACAGGCGCCAGGTCCAGGCTGATAGGAGAGACTATGTAAGTCTTCAGTGGCCAAGACAGTATATATGGGCAAAAGGACAGACAAACAGAAAAATGAAACGGAATAGAGAATCCAGAAATAGACTCACATACGTTGGGTTTTCTTTTTTTTAGAAACATACCATGGCAATTCAATGAGGGAAGGAAAAATCTCCCCAAATTCTTCTGGAATAAATGACAAATGTGTAGGGAAAAAAGAACCTCACTCCACGTACAAAAATTAATTTGATTGCATTTCTAAACTGAAAAGATCCGTACACCAGATCCATACGTTACAGGTGTAAACATACAAGGTTAAACTGTTAAGCCTCTAAAAGAAAGGCAAGCAGCTTTGCAAGCTACAGACAGGCCAAGACTTCCTGGAGAAGACACCAAAGCACTAACCATGAGAGAACATTGAATTAAAAACTTCTGCTCGTCCTAAGACATTAAGGAGCTGGAAGAAAAATGAGTGACAGTGATAGACTGGGAGAGAATCTTGGCGACACGTAATCTGACAAAAAGACTTGTGTCCACATCATACAGACAGCTACAAATTAAGACTGAAAGTCAAATAACACAATAATTAAATGGGCAAAGACTTGAAAGCTCCCTTCATCAGAGAAGGTATATAAGTATCAGTAAGCACTTGAAAAGATGCTAAATATCATTAGACATCAAGAAAAGGCAAGTTGGAAACCACCATGAAATAGTCCTTTAGAGTGGTTACGATGGGTCAAAGACTGACATCACCAAATGTTGCAGAGGACACAGAGCTACTGGAATGCACGTTGCTGGTAGGAGTGCAAAAGAAAACCATTACTTTGGAAAACTCACTTTTTTTTAAATGAAGTTAAATATATACCCACCTTACAACCCAGCTATTCCATTCCTCAGGATTTATCTAGGGGGCGTGAAAGCATGTGTCTACAAAAGGGCTAAAACAAAACATTTATAGCAGCTTTGAATAATCTCAAACATTACGTTGAGCAAAAGAATACGGACACAGAATACACACACTGATTCTGTTTACATGAAGTTCAAGAGAAGACAAAGCTAGGGTACAGAGCAGCGGGGGTTGACGGGAAGGAGGTGATGGAGGCGTTGGTTACGTGGGTGGACATATGTGCCCTGATGACAAGTTGAAATGGTAATGGACTAATCATGGTTCATGGACATAAAGAAACGGAGTCAGGACTTGGTCTCAGACACAGCCCTGCACCACTGAGAACCGGGATTTTCCCTGAACTGTGTCAAACTTAAGGACACTGCCAGCTGTTCTGACACAACATGTGCTAGCAGCTGCATCTTATGGTTTCAAGGTCTCCCCCTGTAACTGGCAACCATTTCAGACCCCAACCAACCTTTACTTAACAAGCACCCTCATTTCTTGCCAGCTCTCATGTAATTCTTGATGAACAAACCATGTCACTAACTGTAATCTTACTTATTTTGTCTTTATAAGCCTCCCCTACTTTGTAGCTGGTGGGGATGGGGACGCAGTTCAAGGGCTTCTTAAATCTGTGTCTCCTGGGCAGTCCTGATAAACCCAAACAGACGCCTTTTTGTATTTTAATCAGGTCTCCGTTTCTGAAATTTTGGTTAACAGCCCAAACTCATCAAATTGTACCCTTCAGATCTGTGTGTTTTACTACAAGTAATTTTACTTCCAAAAAAACCCCCAAAAAACTCAGTAAGAAGTACACTGAGCAATTCTCACGATTGTCCATGAGCACAAATAATTAAGGCTTGACCTCAGATGCCTTTGGAATCTGACAATTCAACCACCAGCCAAGAAGGTTTCTAAACACAGAAACTTGAAAAGAAGGCAGACAGATTGTCTTTTGGGCAGCTTTGTGTCCTTAACAACTATTTACATGGTGATAGGCTAAATGAGGCCGTGGAAATTTCCAGGACCATCATAAATTAGCCTGAGCATCTCTGGAGGTCATGTGGGGACAAGGGAAATCTCCAGAACCTCTTAGTCCTACAGACTTTCCCTTCATGAAAGCATCTTTCCTGGAATTTAGAAACACTGGAACTTCCCTGGCCTGTAGCTCAGAACCGGAGAAGAGCTTGGCTGTAACTCTTTTCCCTAGAACCATGCCGAGGGGGTTCCAAACATCTGAAGAAAGTGGGGGGTCGGAGAGTGTGTGGGAGTGGTAGCCCCGGTGGGGGGGTGTTTCTTTTTAATCTAATGGGAATAAATCTGGGATTTTTTAAAAAGCGCTTCTCAGCACAGTGTTAGAAACAGCAGCACATCTTTCAAGCAGGATGGAGAAACACTTTTTCCCTCCTGAAAGCCTGCAGCAGAGGGCTGAAGGACAACGCTGTTGGTGTGCTCAGCAGAACGTCTTTGCATCCTCTTTCCCGACATTACCACCTAGGAGTTTCCTTCCCCTGCAGCTGGGCAGCTGCCCCAGTTCCCTAAGTTCCCTCTCTGAAAGCTCTGAAAAGTCTCGAAATTCAAAGGCCAGAGGCTTTTCCTCCTCTGCTCTTGCACCCAGCTTCCCAGCTCTGTTTCTGGCTTCCACGGGCGGCTCTGACTTTCTAGCAGAAACTGTCCTCTGTTCTCGGCTCTGCCCACCCCCTCACTCAGCCCCACCCCGCACCCCCGCCCCCCAGCTCACACCACAGTGGGCCTGGAAGCTCAAGGGGCAAACACAGCAATTTATTTTAGAAGGTGGGAAGGGAAAGGTTTTTCTCTCTGTAAGTTTTAACTATTGGTACGTTTTTGGATCAGATGTCCTTTTGTCTTCTGAGAGTCTTTGATGTGCGTGCCGCCTATGGAGGGGAGGAAATACTTTAGATTACTAACCTGGAGCTGGGACTTGGGGTAAATGCTCAGAGCTTGGACGGCGGGGCCCCAGGGGGGGATCCTACCACAGGCTCAGAGGAACATGGATGCGGTCTTTCTCCCTTTCGTGTGGCAGAGGGGAAGGAGAGCCTTATTAATCCTGACAATCCCCGGGGCTTCCACTCACACTGAGAGTTAAATTGAGCTCTTCTGAGGTTGAAAGTGTTTCTCATCTTATTTTGGATTTTTGCTAGGAATTTTAATTGGGAAGACACGGGCGGGACCCCATGTGTCCCACCCCCCGCGCCCACCCCGCCTCCGTCACTGTCCCTGAAGCACTGTCCCAGGTGCAGCTCCCTTTGGGATAGTTGTAGGTTTGGTGGCTCCAGGAATTCATTGCTTAACCAAAGGGCAGGAACCTGTGGCTGCTTCTGGCTTCTTCAGCCGACATCAGCCACTGTAACTGAGAGCCACCTCGGTCTGGGCTGTGTCTGGGGGGAAGCTGAGTGAGGGCGAGGGACCCTAGGACTCTCTTGGCTTCTTTTTCTCTGCTGTTTTGCTTTACGCTTTCCCTCCAGCGGATTGCTGGAGACACGACTTCCCCATCTCACCGCCCCTGTGCTAGGGAGGGGACGCTTAGGCATCTGTAGGACGCACAGCGACAGAGTTAGGGATTCACACCAGCTTTCCTGCCTCCCAGGCATGTGCTCCCTCCTTCTGAGCATTAGACCAGACCATCACCGCCTGCCACCATTCCCAGAGGGGCCGCGGGGCAGCCTCTGCTGCCCGGGCCTCCAGCAGGAGAGGAGCAGCGCGCTGGAACGAGGCGCGCTCTTCCCTCCCTCCACGGGCCGCGTCCCGCTGGCAGAGAGACGGAGCAGGAGACGCAGACCAGGGGACCCACTGGAGCTGGAACCCTGACAGCCTCTATCTTGTGTCCCATCTGCCCTCGACTCCACTGCCGCGTAGACAGCCACCCCTCCGTGTTCTGCTGTTTTGTTTTTAGAAGGAAACAGAGCTGAGATGAGTTTTGTGCTGAGAGATTGTGTCCCCTGAGTTAACCAGACGTGCCAACACCTGGAGGCCGTCAGTCCCTGAGCCGGGAGGAGGCCAGAGCCTCCACAACACGTAGGACCCCGCTTCAGTTGTTCAGAAGCTGAGCTTCTCAAACTTTGTGCCTACGCGTCGCCTGGGAGTCTTGGTGAAATGCACATTTGGGTTCCATCGGGCGAATGTGGAGGCTAAGACCTCCCTCAGGAGCTCCCTGAGGCTGCTGGCGCGGCAGCCAGTCAGCACACAGCCCAGGCCCCACGTCCCCCACCCGGCTCCGCCCCTTCCCGGGGGCCTGCC